TGTGGCAGCTTGATGCTGGTTCCCCGCTACAGGCTGTGGCTGTATTTAAGCCATGACTAGAGCGTCATTTCTTTCCACCTGGCCAAGAGCTTTGTTGAAGTAGTCCTGGCTTCCTTGCTGAAGCGGAGTGACAGATTGGGAATATTTAAAGTCTCTGTTGGCCGAGGGCCAGACCCTGAAGTCCTTGTTTTTGCAAACAGAGCTGCCTCATAGTTAGGGCTCTTGTTCTTATAATGGTCACACGTATGGGTAAGTGCCAAAGACTGTTATGTAGTGACATCCGCTTTCACTGTATATATTTTTTTATTCATTGCTTTATATTGGCTCAATAATTCTAAGCTTTTCTATCCACCTTTTTTTGAAATGCTAGCAGCTGTCCAACTTTTTAAGAAGTCATGTATTACGGTGGACTGCATTTTTAAATCATATGGCTATATCAGTAGTCTAAATCTGCAAAGATCTGAAAATGCACAAAGAAAGGAAGAGAAAAATCAAAGGAAATTCTGCCTGGCCTTCCAGGCTGCGCACCTGCTATTTTGTTAATCTCCTACAACTAGAGTATCACTTCTTAAATGAATTTGAACAGTTCACCCATGAGACATTCTAATCCAATCTTGGTTTATGATGATACCAGCTCGGATGTTATCCTATTAGACACTTGCTGTAAATAAGGGATTTTCCACTGACTTTTAGATACTTGATTAGTGAGAATGCTCAGAGCAGTGTCCTGTAAATTAGCCATAGAGCTAGCAACAATTGCAGTTCACTTAGGAGAACTGATTTACTTCAAATCTTACCATCCAAATTGAAAAGCATGTAAAAAAGATAATGTGTAGCAAGTAAAACATGTTAGTCTATCTCACATTATTTACGTATACCCCTTGGCTGCATGAGACCCTGAGCAGAGTCTAAATCCTGCTTGCTGCTCAGGTAAATCTGTCAAAACTCTTCTGGAGAAAGGCCAGGACTATTTCCTTAGTATGCATAAATTAATATATAGAGTTCTTTATGTTCTCTAGTGTTTCAGTTAATTCATAGTCCCATTTTAAAATATGTTAAGAAGTCTGATGGCTTTCATTTCTAACTTGGAAGCTCCCACTTGATTTTCTGATCTGTTTTCATTCTGATAAAAGTGTAGGAGCAGCAGGAAAGAGCTGTTTGGCTTTAGGTGAAATGGGAGAATAGAGGGAGGTTGTGATACATCTGTTAATTGATATTTAAGCTAGAAGTATTCCTGATGCATTTTATGAAGAAGAAAAAAAAAATCCCTATCATCTTATCCCTTCTCTTCTTATTCCAGTACTGATATTTGATTTATTGCTTGCAACACAATCAGTTTTACATCTGGTATTGACTTTGAAACACACGATATTTCCTTTAATACTCAGAAACAGTAATAAGATCTCTCCTGACATGCTATATTCACCTTTATTTAAGGTACTATTCATTTCTTTACCCATTATATGCATGCACTGTTATCAGTCAGGAACGCGCCTTTGTTCTTTTAGCAGAGTGCATTCTCTTTCTGCAGATAAGATTAGAATTAGTGTCACTTTGTAATGACAGTTTTGATCCTCCCACTTGTAAGTAACTGAGCAAATTATCTTTCATATTTTTAAGATACTTAAAATACATGAATTTTCCATAGCGTCTTTTTTTTTTTTTCTGGTGATTTTTTACTGCAGTGCAAACCATAGAAAGAGTAACTAAATCAAGCTAACTTTAGTTACTTAAACTGAAATCTGACCATGCTATTCTATATCAAGAATAACCAAAGACACCTCAATAATTCTGTAATTCTATTTGAATATTTTGTCTTGATCAGGTCAAGTTACAAGGGTCGGGGGCTTACACATCCATGCATGTACCAAAGCATCCTTAAGCAAAATTCCTCTGAGAGCAGTAGATGCTATAGAAACCATTTCATGCATATTATATAGGCATATGTTGCTCTGATAATATTTGTGTACATTTGTCAATGATCAATTCTTAAATATTGCAGCTTCAGCTCATATGTGTATAGTGTCTCCCGCAGTATTATGGATAGAGGGAAATATATATATCACACTGAGATTTTACTGGCGAAGCTGAAACTGTTTGGAAGATGCATGATACTTTTTAAAATACTTGTGTGTATTTTAAAGTACAGAGTTCACTTCTGTGCAAGCTTTTTTGGTTGGTTTCTTGGTTGATTATTTTTCTTTATATTTTAGAAAAGAAAAAGAATTAGGTGATTTTTCCAAGAAGGAACGAAGGTCTTAGGTTATATTTTTTGGAGGGGAGGGGGAAATGGACAACAGAAATTCAACAGGATATTTACAGCTGTCTTTAGTTATATTTCTCTTTTTGTGCACAGCAGAAAGGCTAGGCAACTAGAACATTTTTTTTGATTGTCGCCTTATTCCAAATTTGTCACCTTACTTTGCTAGGCTTATAGATTCACCTAGTATTTCCCTACTATAAATTTTCTCAGACAAAAGGTGATGTTATTACTATGGCATGCAACTGTGACATAACATAGCTGTCATCTATGTCCTTTTTGGTTACCTTCAGCAAGTTACTTCATTCTGTTATGCCTCAATCTTCTATCTATAAAATATGATGCTGTGATAATAGACTTGTCTTTGTTGTGCTCCACATATTAATGAATGTTTCGTGTATCGCTTTCCTGTCTCACAGAAGTGCTGAAAGAATACATTTATTAATATTCTTACAGGATGACAAAGAAAAGCCTCTTACTGTCATATGCTTTGCTCTAAAACTTCAGATGGAAGAATAAAGCTAAATAGCATTTATAACACTCTGGCTAGCAGAAATGAAATTGTTACATGTTCACACTTTAAATAACAAGAGAAAATTTTGTATCTTTTGTCCCTTTCTTAGACTCATGCAAAGCGTTTAACTGTAGTATTTTACGTTTACTGAGATGATTTCTGGTTAGCATAGGTATCATATAGAAACACATGAATGGCTTTTTGCCGACAATATCTTTAGCCACTTTTTTCAGTATCTCACTTCAGTCTCTTACTCGCTCTACAAGTTTCCTACCCTGAGGTGAAAGGAAGTTTGCTTAGGTGAAAGGGTGGAATGTCTTGCCCATAGGAAAATCTGCTTCCTAACCTCATTAGTATTTTCTTGAGAAATGACCAGAAGCATGACAGTTTATATTACCCTGCTGTTATTTCCCCTAATAACAGTGGATGTTCTTATTACATTTCTAAATGACTGTTCTCAGAGGTGGCTTGAGTAGAAGGTATTTTGTTTTATCAGATTTGGATTGACTGCCTGTGTTATTTCATTCCGTATCTTCTTGTTCTCACACTGTAAGAAAAGCAAGATAGGAATTCCTGGTATCTCTTTATATAGCAATCATAGAATCATAGAATGCTTGAGGTTGGAAGGGACCTCTAGAGGTCATCTACTCCAACCCCCCTGCACACGCAGGGTCACCTAGAGCAGGTGGCACAGGACTGCATCCACACGGGTTTTGAAGATCTCCAGAGAAGGAGACTCCACAACCTCTCTGGGCAGCCTGTTCCAGTGCTCTGTCACCCTCACTGTTAAAGAATTTTTCCTTAAGTTCATGCAGAACTTTTGGTGCTTCAGTTTGTGGCCATTACCTCTAGTTCTGTCAGTGGCCACCACTGAAAAGAGGCCAGCACCATCCTCCTCACTCCCTCCCTTGAGGTACTTATAGACACTGTGACACCCGGGTCCCTCTCTGCAGAGCTGCTCTCCAGAAGGTCAGTCCCCAGCCTGTACTGGTGTCTGGGGTAATTTCTCCCCAGACGCAGGACCTTGCACTTGGCCTTGTTGAATTGCATGAGGTTTTTCACCGCCCAGTTGTCCAGTCTGTCCAGGTCCCTCTGGATGGCAGCGCAGCCCTCTGGGGTATCAGCTACTCCTCCCAGTTTGGTATAATCAGCAAACTTGCTGAGGGAGCACCCTGTGCCTTCATCCAGGTCATTCATGAATAAATTGAACAGGACTGGACCAAGGACTGACCCCTGGAGGACACCGCTAATTACAGGCCTCCAACCAGGTCTGCACCGCTGATCACCACCCTCTGAGCTTTGCCGTCCAGCCAGTTCCTAATCCACCTCACTGTGCACTCATCTATCCCACACTTCTGGAGCTTGCCCAGGGGGATGTTGTGAGGAATGGTGTCAAAAGCCTTGGTGAAGCTGAGATAGATGACATCCACCGCTCTCCCCTCTTCTATCCAGCTGGATCCATTCAGTGTTTTATATACCCCTGTTATATATATATATATGTATCTACATATATTTACCCTTTTATATATCCCCCTGTATTTGTCTCCTTTGTCTTGATTTTCTTGTTTTCTGTGGATGAAGAGCTCTCCGGGTTAATTTTGGACAGATGTTCTGAGAATCTATCTGAGCTGAACGCAGAACTCAAGCAGTACTTTACTTAAGACGATAAAATATTCTATTATTTTTTAACATGGCATATGTTTATATTTAAGTTATTGTTTGCTTTCCTTGACTGTTCCTTAACATTAAGCATTTAACTTAAGGAGTCAAATGCTTTTTTTTTTTGCTTTTTTTTTCTACATTTAAGAGAGCAAGAAAGTCATCGCTCCCTTTCCGATGGTTTTATCATCTACAGACATTCAGTATTTTGATTTGGATTCTTAACATTTCCAGTGTTTTCAGGCAATATCGTAGTCGAGATGTTGGAGAAAAAGAGGGGAGGTCAACAGCCTCAGTATAAATATTCTATCCTTCTATCTTCTGTTCTTATTACAAAAAAAAAAAAAAAGGGGGTTTTAAAGGCCGGCTTGGGGTTTTAAACCCATTTAAAAAAAAAAAAGAAGTGTGAATTGAAAAGCAAAGTACCATTAATTCAGAGTTAGAGAGTGTTATTGTTATTAAGTCTGGAATGCTCTAGGCCTAGCAATCAAAGAAATGTCAGTGAGAATCTTAACAACCTGTTAGATTAATCAAAATGGATTTATCTGGCATTTGTTTTCTTTGCAGACCACAGATGACATCCTGGTGGCCTCGGCTGAATGTCCCAGTGACGATGAGGACATTGATCCCTGTGAGCCGAGCTCAGGTGGGTTAGGTTAGTCAACTTTTTTTATTACTTCCTTTTCTTTCATATTGCATGCTCCAGTTGCCTAAGAATCTGGAGGGATGGTCCAGGGAGAAGTTGAGCTGGGGCCTTCACAGAGTTTGCTGCGCCTGATCCTTTCTCAGAGACATCTGTGCATATCACATTTGTTGCTACTTGTGGTGTGAGCAGCATCACAAGGAAGTGCAAGAGGACCCTCAAGAGGACATCCTGGGGCCTCTATAGCTGTTTTGTGGTGATAGAGAAGGGATGATTTGATTTAGGAAAAAGATGGTGCAGCAGCCTTAAGCATTTCACCAAAATAAGATAGAAGTGTAGTTCAAATATTATCTTATGTCAGGAGTAGAAGCAGAGTTTATTTGAATTATTGTTTATGATGTTATGAATACTATGAAGATGCTAAAAATCTGACAATGTAAAAAGAGCAGCCTGAAATTTTGAATTGTTTTGTGGCATTTTTCCAAACCGCAAACTCTTCAGAATGTATGTTCTGATTACAAATGAGAATTTTTGACAATTTGTTATTTCCTAAGGAACCAGAAAAGTGGTGTTTTGACCTTCTCCTTCCTACTTCTGTAGAATAATGGGAAATTGGTCCTCATTTTTCTAATTTCCCACTTACATTAATACCAGATTAAATACTACATACCTTTTCTAAAAATCGAAAGGAGGGCAAGACTTCAGAATAGCTCCTACAATAAATTTTTTTCTCTATAAACCTTTACAAAAAAAAGGCCAGATGTCCAAAGAATTATTCCTGCTTTCATTGTTGGCACGGATTAGCTTCTACCCTTTTTTGAGAGGCAATTTATGGCATTGTATTTACCTCAGCTTTTCATACACACTTGAATTCTGTTTTATTCAGTGGTACGCTTATTATCAGTTGCTTATGAAATATGGCAGTCTTTGGTACTTGCAGTATTATGAATGGTAAAAGAAGAATTAAGATAAATTTGTCATGCATTAATGCATTTAGTTTAAGTAGAAAGCAAATTTGAGATGGGCGGCCTGTATGTTAATTAAAACAAATTTGAGATGGGCCTGTATGTTATGTTATGAAAACATAAGTAAGAGGCATCTTTGTTTATTACAGCACCTAAATGCAGACCGCACGTGCCTGCATAGCCACAGCACAAGCTAAATGCAGTTCCTTTTGGAAGTTGCGTAACCTAAAGCTCACATGCAAAAATCATTTGATTAAACTTAAATGAGGGCAGAGAACGTTGTAAGTTGTCCTCATCTTTGATGGACTGCAGGGTAGCATTAGTTACCTTCTATGAACCAATAGGTTGAGCGTGTAAAGGTTAGATGAGAATCCTCTGAAGTTAGGTTCTTGTCCTATCCAAAGTAAAGGTTTCCGAGTGTTTTTCAAAACACCAAGAGATGGAATTACCAGCCTTAAAACTGAGCAGCAGCAGACACATCCAAGTTGCACATTTTTACTGCTCTCGGGCAGGTCTTTCACTTGCAAAAGTGCTAGATAAACAAGATATTTGAGAGTTGAGAACTGAATTGGGAGTTCATTGATATGATAATTTGAAAAATATATTTTTTTTTGTTACGCCCTACTTAGTTTCAAATTCTGGAGTTCAGGTGGAGTGTCTTGTTAAGTATGAGTCAGTACACTGGCTCACGTGGCTCTGAGCTCATCCGTGGCAGCTGCTTCCTTCCTTTATTTAAATCAGATGGTTCTGTTCAGTAGATATGTATAAACATTTTGTTTGTTGCATTAGTTACATTTTTGTTGCCTAGGACTAAAAAAATTCCCTAAGCCCACTCTTGCAGTCGTTGTATTAGAAATGCACTTGCTCTAAGATGAAAATATTTTAGACTAATACTTCTCTGAGGTTACTTTTACTTGCAGCTCTGTCTAGTGGTCTTGGAGCCCTGCAGTCCTTCAGCTGGTGGGTGGAGGAACAGGAGGGCTGAAATGAAGCTTTCTGACAAATTAGCATCTCTAACCAAACTGTGGCCCAGAGGGGAATCTGTGAATGGTAGTCTTCCTGCAAGGGCTTGCCATTTGCTTTAGACCCTCCTACTTAGTTTTCTGGCTTTAGCTTCTCATTCATGATGCAGCTACAGTTCTCATTTTTGTTTATTTGAGAATGATTTTATTGCTTTATTGCTTGCATCCCAACTGCTACTGCTTTTAGAAGAAGGTATCAATTGGCACAGGAGTAATGTTCTCCATAAGCCCAGTTGTCTAGATTGTTTTATCTGTCATTCTCCACATCAAAATGTCACTTGTCCTCCCACTCTGCAACTCTTAAAAATTATTACTTTGCCTCTGTCTTCATTGGTCTTGTCCTTTTCTCATATTTGAAACAGCATGAACCAAAGGACTTGGTGAAATCATAGTTCCTAAGTGTATCTGCCCCACTGGAAACTTCTTTTAAGTCTTATTCACATAGTCTTATTAACAAGCTCTCTCCATAAATAGTCCAGTGGCAGCAAAGCGCTACTGCATCTGTGTGACACTGCAGCCCGCCCTCCATGTTGACTTGAGCTGCTCTTAACAGGCTGGAACTTAAGGGAGAAAAACATAATATTGTTGACAGTGACCAATTCAGGATTCCTTTCCTTTAATTTGGGGTAGGAGGTGCAGAAGGACACCTCCCTCTGCTTAAATGCTGCCTGCAGCTCAGTTCAGCTTTTCCCCCTCAAGAATTTTTACAAATCAGTAGCAAGAATACATTTTACAGAGGGCCAAAGCCCAGCCAAAGTTCATTGACATTACGAGTACATTTAAATAATGACTGCCTATAATGTGCCTATTTTTAACCAAAGTTCTCAGCTCAGATGAGAGCCTGTTCTACAAACACTTTGATTATAGCAAACTTTGCATTAAGTAGGAAGACAACCAATTAGCTAGATATTATTCATTAACCAGATTTTTGCTTGAAACGAGGCTTCTTTTCTAAAAAAAATATGTTGCAGTTTGTAGTAGCTAGCATGCTAGCATGGTCTGTCACCACCAGCTTTGCTTTCTGTGCACTCGTCTTCTAAATGATAAATGGAAATATGTGATTTGCAACAAATTTCAGAGGGGACATAAAATTTAGAACAGATACAAGCTGCTAAGCAGCAATCCCATCAACTTGTCTGGAACATAAAGTCACAAAAATTATAATTGCAGATTTCATTGTGGTATACAAACTGCTAAATGTGTCATAATTGGGTGAAGTCATAACAAATTTATTAGCATGCAAAATTTAGTCTACATATTTTGTTTGCATTGTTTGCATTATTCTTTATATGGTAAAGCAACAATTTTGTTTTCACAGTCTCCCCACAGTCCCTTCTCTTACTGTAAATCTAATAGCAACACTAATAACACTTTTTTCCTCAGCTTCATGTCATAGAAGAAATACTAAAGCCTATTCATTTTGCAGACGTTAAGAAGTTAAGAAAAATGTTAGTGGAACCCTATCCAAAAAAGGGAGACCTGGGGTGGTCTCCTGGTTTTACTTGATGAGCTCTGAGACTGGGAGCGGACAAATTGCCCCTCTGCGTATTAGGAGCGCTGTGCTTCCCCTCTCTGAGCTCGTCACAGAGCTTGGATTTCTGCTGAGTTTCAGTGAGCGTTTGTGCTTCACAGCGTATATGTTCCAGTTACACTGCTCTGGTCTTTTTTTTGTTAGCCATTGGCCAGCCACTTCTGTGGCCATCAAAATGTGGCTACTCATTTCTAGCTTCCTAACTTATCCTATGGGGAAATTTCCCCTTTGATATTAGTTCACTAATCTATACCAATTGGTAGCATTAGATACCCTTTCTTAGTGCTGATTCTGAGAGAGGAATAGGATTAAAGTTTTGGAGTTTTGTCCATGTTTTGATGCAAGGATGTGTAATAAGATAGCCCATGGGCTGATGGGCTGATCTTTGTGAATGTATTCTGGCGAAGGCTTTGGCTGATAAACAGATAGTCTAGGTTTTACCTCAGTTGTTTCCTGCATATATACCCACCTCTGCAGAGCTGCAAAATTAAAGAAGTTTCAGCAATAGGCAAAGTGATTCCTATAACTTCTGCATCAGTGCAAGTGTGCTGTTCAGCACCATTCAGGCAGGGCATTGTGAAAGGAGCTGAAACAAAAATGAAATTACAGTTGGTTCACATGGCAGCTGTGGTCTTTATGGCTCAAGACATAAAGGGAGTATTTGCGCCTCAGTCCAATTAGCCTGTAGTTCAGTTGGGGTTTCCAGTATGAGAAAGATCACTGGCTTGCCTTGTTAAATGCTCAGCAGAAATGCATATGGATGTGTCTGTATGGGCTACTACATAGTGAAAATTATGCTTTATTTATAAGCTTTCTAAATGTTAGTTTGAAGGGATTTGCACTTACCAGGTCCATACATAAATGAACAGGGAAAAGTATTTTTTCCTTAAATTATCTAAGAAAATGAGGTTAAACAGTGATGGCTGATCAACAGTATCAACACTGATCTCTACTCTTGGACAGCCATTTTACTGAATCATGGGGACACTGAGTAGAATTACAGCTAGTCTTAATTACAGTCCTAAGTGTTTTCCAGCATTCCCAATGCTGGGAGCTGCTTTCTTTTAGTCTAACAAATTATTTTTCAATAGCTTGGAGACTCAAGTAATTCTGGTGGTGGTATGAGAGGGTGTGCACCCTCTCATATCTCCTTTGCACAGCGCCACTTATATTAGATCAAGTGATATATGGGATTTGTGTCCAAGATTATTTTTAAGTTCATTTTTTAAAGCGCTTTTTAGGACAAAGCTGCTGTTGGTAGCTAACTGTGCCTAATATCTCACTCATTCTTGTTAATGTTGAGCGTTCTCACCCTTCTCTAAAGGGTATGAATGATGAACGTTCATGCTGTGAACAGCAGGATTATTATTTGTCTGGGAGTACCTGAAGCTCCATCTCGTACTTCAGGCATATGCAGACAACATGAAAAGGTAGTACTTGTTCAGAGGACTTTATGAAGTGATCATGAGTATCACTGTGACCGCTTGAATTATT